CAAGGGCTCCACATTTCCTGGGGCCTTCTTTCTACTCCCTATGTATTTAAAAAAGGACTTCTTGTTGTCCTTAATCCGGGAAGCCAGCTCCTGTTCCATCTCTGCCTTGGCCTTCCTAACCATCCCCCTACACCCCCGAGCAACTGCAGAATAGTCCTCCTTAGTGATGACCCCTCCTTTCCATTGGGAGTAAGCCTCCTTTTTGGCAAGGAGACATTCCTGGATGTTTTTAGTGAGCCATGGAGGCTTATATGCTCTCCTGCTCCCAAACAACAACTGGTGTGCAGTTGTTGTTTGGTGTATCCTACATATTTTCATATTTAACATTTTTGGAGATGTAGCTGTAAGATCCAGGAGTGGTGAAGGTTCTGTTGTGGAATGTAGTAATTGTGGGGGTACTGGAGATATGTTGGCAGGTTTTGCATTTCTTGTCATGGCATGGTCTGGGTCCATTCAGAGTGTTTTGGGCTGTAGAAAGTTTGCTTCTGGTGATGAGGTTAGCGAGGTTTGATGCTTGTTTGAATTTACAAACCACTTTTCACAGACGAGCCTATGAACTTCACTTCATCAACCTCCTGGATACAAAAACTCATGGACTCAATATAGACATTGGTTTTATGACACACTATAACCTGCCTGACATCTGACTCCCAGGGAGCAGGTACCTCTCCACTTTTACCTGCTACATCCCCCTACCACTCCACCTCCCCCACCCCAGCCTGTCTCTCACCCCCTGACACCTCAACTTACATTTTCACTGACTGGCTTTCTTGCCTGCATTGCATGCCAGCCTCTGGCTTCTTTACTATTCCTTCCATCCAGGAAGAGCACACACCAACTGCAGATGCTTCCTCAGCCTCATGGGTTTTTAAACCCGAAAGCTTGCTAAAATATATTTCTCCAACTATTCAGTTGGTCTAATAAAAAGTATCAGAAGTACCCTCGACTGGTCCATGCTGGGGCCAGGACCCAAAGGAGAGGGGGGGTCAAAGGGCCAGGGGCCCACCACGAGGAATGCCCACAGCAAGAGGCTCAGGATTCCGACTGGCCTGAAGGCAGGACCAGGGTCTAAGGGGGAGCCAAAAGTCCCAGAGAGGGGACCACAGCTGGAGTGGGTGAAGGATGCAAAGTGTGAGGCATGGGCCACAGTATAGGGAAGGTACGGAGCTGCAGGATGGATGTCACCCCAAGACACCTAAATGGGCAGTCTCCTGCCCGGGAAACATCTGAATCAGTTTTTCATCAAGGAAAAAGAGGGGTGGGCAGTTGGCCCAGAAACAGGTGGGCGGGCAGAGATCTAACCCACACTGGGAAGGCCTCCTGTTAAAGGCTACCATCCCCACTGGCTTCTTCCTGCTCTGGCTACAAACACACACATGTCACGAGTTTTTCTTTGAACAATTTGAGGTGCAGTTTCACAGAAACTCCTGTACCTATCTTCTTGAAACCTGGTAGGCTTCATGGCCTCAGAAGGGGCTATCATCCCTGCAATTTTCTTCTGAATCAGGCACAAAACGACAAAGTTATAGGCATTTTAGTGATTCCCCATTGTAGCCTATTGCTGAATCACAAAAATAGTGTCAAAACTCTGAAACAGATTTGGCTGAATCAAAATGGAACAGTGATTTGAAACACCAGAACGATTCACTGTCACTCTGAAATGGCTAAATCCAAAACCAAAATGAAACATAGCCATTTTACACAGCCCTAATATGCATGTGTAGTTTCAACATGTACAGGAGCTTATGCATTGACTTGGTGTATATGTACATACCTGAGTATAAGTCCAGGGAAAGGTAGAGGGAAGAGAGGTCTCCCATGTTTTAGCTAAGTTGTTAAGGCACTGGCTCATGAAGTACAAGACCTGGGTTCTCACCCACTCTTATTCGGAGGGAGTTTGAACTTGTCTCACCAGACTCCCAGCATAGTACTCTAACACCCACATTATGGGTTGGGAAATATTTAGGTCCTTTTCTAGCACCCCTTTTAAAGCTGCCCCCTAGGTAACCAAGACCAGGAAGATTTGTGGGGTCAGGAGGAAGCAAGTCAGCTGGAGGGTGTGTGACTCAGTGAGATATGTGGACCTAGAAGGGAGTAGGTTGTAACCTAGACCCCTGCTCCCAGTGAAGCAGAAATTTCCCTAATGCTCTGCTTTCCATCCACAAACTAGAAACTGCAAGATGCAGTGGCTTAACTTCAAAAGGAATGAGGGAGAAAGACCTGGGTAATGTCCAACTTGTGGTATAGTGGTTAGATTACTGTGCTGGAAAGTCAGATATACTTCTTTGAAATTCCTCTGGGCAAAGGCTTTTCGAACCCTTGTCTCCTAATTACTAAGCAAGTGCCCCAAGTGATCTAAAACACAGAATGCGCTGTTTTCTCTAGTTACATAGACTTACATTACTGTAGTCTCTAAGAACCTCCCAAGAACTTGAAGGCACAACAAAAGTAATTTGCCTCCTTGCTTCCTTTCCTATAGAAAAAAACATAACTCCTGTTTTAAACTGTATATAGTTCTGTACTGCAGCTCTCCATAGGGTTGACTCTCCCACCTAGAACAGCAAGAAGAATTTGAAATGGAATTCTGAGTCTATCTGAATGAAAATGGCTATGGCATTTTTAAATAAAGGAACCTTCTAGGATTCTAAATGTGTGGCATGAGCCATTTATTCCGCTGATCACAGAAAGAGATATATAGTGTCCACCCTTTACTAAGCATACACAGTATTACTGGATTCAGCAAGAGTAAATGGTTTAAATGCATTAAAATAGGGGAAATGTCTTCTTAACTCTGATGATATTTTGCTGTAGAGGTCATAATTACTGGTAATAGAAAAACTATTTTCACACAAAAGCCTGATTATGAACAGTCTTAAAAACATTCAGGTAAACATTATTGTATTCTATTAAATAGTCATGAACAAATCCAGAATTTGTTTTTTTCATAGTAGATAGTTGCACATGTAGCCAAATGATGCAACTATCTACTTTGATTTCTTCTGCTTTATAGACTTATCACCAATTTCACAAGCTGCAATGTGCTAATTTTGCCATTTTTTCATTCTTCAGACTATCAATGGTATAGAATTCTACAGCATAAAAATTGATTGCAAAGTGACTTCTCGATTTGCCCACAATGTCATCACCAGCCGAGCTGTTAACCGGGCCAATATATCCAAAGAAGTCATTTTTGATGTTGACCTCCCTAAGACAGCTTTCATCACCAATTTTACCATGTATGTAGAACTTTATATTTCTATTATACATAAACAATATGGGTGGATATCATTCACAGCTATAGAGATGAGCTGAATTCAGAATCTGAACTAGGGATATAAACAGTTAAATGGTTAAATGACAGTTATATTTATACTGTTTACCATTAACAGTTTACCATTGAGTGACCTCTGGCAGGAACAGCCCTGGCCCCTTATGTCTTCACCATGCACCTGGTGTTCTGTCGGCCCCAGGCCACTGGCAGGGGAAGTGGGTGCAGCCAAGCCACTAGGGGGCACTGTCCAGCTGCAAATCTGTGGCTTCCCTTCACCCCCATGGGCAGGGGCAGGGGTTTGGGGTACCGGCATCATGGCCTGTACCTGGAAGACTCCTCCTTGCTATTGGGTCAGGCACTCTCTGGCTTGCCCTGGGGGAAGCGAGGGTCCAGTCCCAGTGGGTTGGCCTCTGCCTGGCATGCTGCATCCTTCCTCCTCCCGCCCATGGCACTGGGGCTGTGTGGCATCAGGCCCAGCCCTGAAACAAGCTGAACAAATAGCTGGCTCAGCCCAAGGAGGAGCTGTGGCAGCTTGAGCAGGCAGTGCTGGGTCTGAGGGTTGCTGCTGGCCTTTCATGTGGTAAGCACGTCCCCAAGGCATTCCTGAGGGGTGGCAGCGCAGCAGCTGCATCCTGGGAGGCCACTGTTCCAGCCCTAACACTCCCCCTGGGATCCCTGCTGCACTGCCCTGCTGTGTCACCACCCCTCAGGAGAGCCTGGGGCTGCAGTCACCACATGAGGGGCCAGCAGCATACCCTTAGACCCTGTCCTGCCTGCTCCGGCTGTTGCAGTGCCT